GCATATAACTACTGTTCCCTGAAGGAAAGGAACGAGGTACAACACATGGAGGCCCCGCTACACAGCTGGGCTCGGTGAACAATATTTCACGGTGACAATATTTATATGTGCAGGCGGAGCCTGACATCTGTCGTCATCACGTCACCTGCCTAAAGGCGTGATTAGAGGTGGCTTCAGCCAGGACACGCAGGGGCGTGGTTCCCATACATATGTTGTACCGAGTGAATTGACTGAAAGGGAACCCTAAGCTCTATGAGAAGAGCAGAGCTGGAGTCATGCTCTGCAGGTATTCACTTCCTGTCACTGTCTTTGATTCTTATTTGTTTCTAAACTTCCAGATTACACATAGAAGCTAACTGTCCTTGGTGTTTCTTTTGCAGGTTTATGTGAGGAGCATAAAGTCCAAACCCCAGCCTTTACTGATGCAGTCCGACTGTACCGACAAGCTCATGGGCACTACGGCACCTGGGACATGATGTGTGGGGTTCCATCACAGGTACTGTGAGATAACTGGTTTCATATGATGTCTAACACAAATTAGAAATGTTAAATATTTATTATTAGTGTGCACCAGTGTGTATTTGTGTGCACCAGTGTGTATTTGTGAGCACCAGTGTGTATCAGTGTGTATTTGTGAGCATCAGTGTGTATTTGTGAGCATCAGTGTGTATTTGTGAGCATCATTGTGTATTTGTGAGCACTAGTGTGTATCAGTGTGTATTTGTGAGCACCAGCGTGTATCAGTGTGTATTTGTGAGCACCAGTGTGTATTTGTGAGCACCAGTGTGTATTTGTGAGCACCAGTGTGTATTTGTGAGCACCAGTGTGTATCAGTGTGTATTTGTGAGCATCAGCGTGTATTTGTGAGCATTAGTGTGTATCAGCGTGTATTTGTGAGCATCAGTGTGTATTTGTGAGCATCAGTGTGTATTTTTGATCATCAGTGTGTATCAGAGTGTATTTGTGAGCAACAGTGTGTATCAGAGTGTTTCTAAGAAAGAACTGAAATTTGAGCAGAGGTAGCAGAGTGGTTAGGGGAGTTGTTCTTTAACTTGGGTTGTTGGTTTGATCCTCTGTTCCAGACGTTTTAGTCATTCTTTCCTTGGGCAAAACATTTCCCCTCCTTGATAACTAATGGTGGTCAGTAGGGATGGGCCATACAGACTAAAAAATGTATCACGATAATTTTTAGGTTTTATCACTGTAACAATAAGTGATGATAAAAATATCAGCCTAATCTTTTGTATTATAAATCCATCACTACCTTCTGTCTTGAGAGCCCTAAAATACTAGAAGCCACTAAACTACATTAAGTTCAATAGTTCATCTGTGTTGTAAAACTGACCCCCCATCAAACAAATCTGAAATATGAGAACAAATTTGACATTTATTTAAATGGTGTAAACAGCAAAAATAACTTGGCTTATAAAAATTACAAAGTAGTACAACTGTAAATACAACCTGATTAAAAAATATATAATTTCAATAAATTCCAACGAACATGTAAAAACTGAAATGCTTTTTTGTGTAAGAATACAGAAACAAGGCTGGCAGGAACATCTGTATGCTTTACACCTTTACATCTTTGGTCAAAAACACCAGCATATTAACTGTATATGAGGCAGGATTTTATTGTTTTTATCACAAGATGACAAATTATTACCACGGTGAATTTCTTTGATGGTATATTGCCTATCCCTGGTGGTGCTGGTGCATGGCAGCCCTGCCTCTGTCRGTGTGCTTCCAGGGCAKCTGTGRCTACARTGTAGCTTACCACCATCAGTGAGTGAATGAATGAAGTATAAAGCATTTTTGAGTCCAGCGGGACTTGATAAAACACTATCCAAGTTCACTCCATTTACCATTTAGTTTTGTGGGTTTTATGGATGTAGCATTTCAGAGAAAGTGAACCATGATGCTTAAAGTCCAAACTTGAATACAAATGCCCTCCGTGTGTACCAGCTGGAAGGAGTTCACTTTGTGTTGTGCTGACTCTTGTTTTCCTTCTAGATTCTGTCGAACCTGGTGATGGAGGGCCTCCTTCCTGAACTGAGAGAACTCATCTCCCCCCGCCTCAAAGGCAAACTGCATGAGAGGCAGAGGACCTGGATGCTGGTGAGAAACTCCTTCGTCCTATTTCTCTTTGCTCCGTAGAACCAAATCAGTGTTTCTCATCATTGATGGGGCGGCTCTGGCAGAGGTTAGTGGGGTCATCTTGTAACATGTGGGCTGCTGGTTCAATCAAACTGTCTCAGTCATTGTGTCCTTGGGCAAGACACTTCACCTGCCTTGTCTACTGATGGTGGTCAGATGGTCCGGTGGCACCGGTGCATGGCAGCCCCACCTCTGTCAGTGTGCCCCAGAGCAGCTGTGGCTACAATGTAGCTTACCACCATCAGTGTGTGTGTGAATGAATGAATGAATGAATGAATGAATGAATGAATGAATGAATGAATGAATGAATGAATGAATGAATAAGGAATAAAATCATGAATAAAAGTAGTTTACCTGTACAAAGAGCCCTAAAAATCCATAAATTATGCAAAAAGTCCATACAACTCGCACCCGCGGGGGGGGTGGGAGGGGTGGCTGCAGACATGAAAGCGCCTGCTGCGAAGCAGGAGGAAAGGAGACAGGAAAAAGTAACTTATTTCTAGCGGCAGAACAGGTTGGAAGATGGCTGTTTTATGTTAGTTATTGTTTTTAAATCATCCTATAGGCTCTGACATGTTAGATAAGACTTGAAAAAATTCGTGAGATTGCTCTATACGTCCGTATACCTGCAAAATGACGTAAAATCCTTATAACTTACAGACAATCTGTAAAAGATAACACGTGTGGGTTCGGACTGAGGCTGCCCCGCTGCCTTTCTTTCCCTCCTCCACTCCCGCTGTGCAGGACGTGCTGCTGGTGTGTGTGTGTGTGTGTGTGTGTGTGTGTGTGTGTGTGT